TGTTGGAAAAAAAATGAAATACCTTGATGAATGCTGTAAGAACTCTGCATTTTGATAGAAAACTCTGTTTAAAATGTTGATTTAGATTTACTTGCTAAGCTTGCCTGTTCTGCCTGATTGTATCTACCACACATGGATGATTAACCTAGTTGAAATGCTAAGAATTGAAGTGCTGTAAACCTCCTTCCTGGACCCTGGACCCCAGACTCAGTTGATTTACAATGTGTCCTGTAGGCCTGTTTGCACATACCAGATAACCGATAAGGAACAAAGAGAGGGAAGTTGCACCAGGCTTACACCAGATCTACCCTTCCTGGAAAAGATGTTTAACCGAAACTATAGCTTTTAGAAGATGTTTGATCAAAGTGTATGCTGAGGAATGCTTTTTGTGTAATGACTATGTGAGCCTATATAATCTGTGCCTAAAACTGAATGGGGGTCGATCGTTCTGACCAGACTTGCATGTCTCAGGAAGCCGGTCGACCCCAGCTAGCTGGAAAGTAAAGACTCTGCTTGATTTTTACATCTCCAATCCCGTGTATTTGTTACCTGGAAGGGACCCATCGAGTCACGGACCCTAACAGTGTCATCATATTTGGCTCTGCATGTTCATTCAACCATATCATGGTATTACAGCAGCAAAAAGGCCCTTAAGAGAAATCTGGTCAAGAAAACAAGAATTTCTGGCTTGAGTGGAACCTTAATTTTCCAGTATTTCTGGGTCAATGGCCTGGTCACAGGACCACCTCTCAGAAGGCAGATTCACCTTAAGTCATGCTAAAGGATAGGCAGAATAACCATTCCATTAAAGGGGTGGTGACTTCTTCCTGCCTGGAATCCCACCCCCTAGTGCAGTGCTTCTGGACTCTGCCACAGACATGTGGCTCTCTGTAAGTAAGCCCACTTTACAGATGAACATTTTTTTTATTATTTTTATTTTATGTGTATGAGTGTATTGCCTGCATGTATGTGAGTGCACCCATGTTGTGCAACATCGTGGAGGTCAGAAGAGGGCTTCAGATTTCCACTGGAACTGGAGTTAAGGACGGTTCATAGCCGCCATGTGGGTGCTGGGAATTGAACCCAGGTCCTCTTCAAGAGCAGTCAGTGTTCTTAGCCACCAAACCATCTCTCCAGCCCCTACAGATGAATTTTTAAAAGCATAACTTCTCCATTTCTTCTTTTTATCTCTTTTTAACCATGCTTTCCCTAATACTTTGGGCCACCCCAACATTTTGAGCTTTCTTACTTTTTCTTTAAAGTTCCCCTCAGGCCATATGGCTGATCTCCAGACGAGCTCTAAACCACCATGACTTTATGGCTTTTTTGTCCTTCTCCCCTCCATTCTCCAGTGAAGGGTGGCTGCTGAATTTTACAGCTTGCCTGCCCTGGAGATTTTTCCTTTAAATTCTAATAAAATTGTCCTAAAGACTGTTTGAGTCCATTCTTAAATCCTTTTACAAATGAGACTAAGAACCCTGGAAAGGAACCCCATTTTCCCCTCTATCAATGGGACAAGGGAGATAGGGATAGACAGGGAGTCAGGGGGTGGTTACAGAACAGGGAGTGGAGGTAACAGTTTCATCTAGGGAGGCAGATGTTCCAAGATCCAGGAAATAGTTGATAATTGTGATCTCTATGACATAACGCTCTCTAAGATAAAGACCCCCACTGGCCATTGTTTCTTATAAGAACAATAGTTCCCAGTTAACACATGGCAAGTCTGTGAGATGATGTTGTGCCCTGACCTGGAGATGATAAACGCTCATGGAATTAAAGGATTATTGGGATGTCCAAACACTGCCAAATGTGAGGCCACCAAAATAATAAGTGCAAGCAACAGCAGTACAAGAGGTTGAAAGGATGCAGCAACTCTGCTCCATACAAGTTCATATGTTAATAAGCTGGACCACAAGGCCTGGCAACCTGAGGCAGGCTACACTACAAATACTTCATTATCTTTGTGTGAAAAGAAATTAGGAATAATATATCCTGAAGAACCAGAGTCATTCTTCCCACCCTTCCCTAACTCTATAAAGACACTGAAAGGTCAAAAGTTCAAAGTTAAGTAAAGACCAAAGCAATAAATGTATTCATTTGGCATCCTTTAAAATAAAAATAATTTTTTTCTTATTCAATAAATAAGTATGCATCTATTCTATACATTAGAGAGAGGAAAAGGCCTTCATTATAGGGAAAAGAAAAGGATGAGAGAAATAAAAGTAACCACTGCTAACAAACTCACAAAAGACTGACAGAGCCAAGCCTACAAGCATAAAAACCCCAACCATTAGATGAATAACTAAGTCACAAGTACAGCATATTATAGCTATGCTTACAGGTCCTAGGAAACAGAGGAAAGGGACTAAAGTGAGGATCTCCCTGTTGACCTCCAATCCTGCCCCTACTGAGCCATCATGCCTGGCTGCTGATAAAAAGCTACCAAAGGGGGGAGGTGAAGGCCCTGGGTAACTGAGGACTTGAGATCTTGAGATGAGACTACAGCATCGATCCAGCCCAAAGCTGCTTCCTAGGTACCAGTACAAGTGTACACAAGCTGTATATACCTGTATAAATAGTCTACTGTAGTCAAAAGATAGTGAGGACTCCAACAGAGCACCACAGTGAAACAAACATCACGAGCAAGCTCTTGAGGAATATTTCAAACAGTGCACAAGTGTCAGTATAGGCTTCAAACTTTAAGAAAAGGTCATGTGCCCTCATATATAGCCACAGAATCTGAGGACTCCCAAAATACCTCTGAGATTTGGCTTTCTTTTAAAATGACCCAGAGCTGTTAGGTAACTCAAGGAAAGTTAAAAACAAGTTAGTGGCAGAAGCAGGTCCCAACTCTCCCCAGTTTGTTCAAGGCTTTTTCCACTCAGGGAAAGTGACCTTGAGAACTGGTTAGATGACAAAGGCACAATTTTATTGGTCACCACATAGCAAGAAACAGACAAGTACTATGTAGTCGTCATTTTCATGCAACCTAAGCACAGCTGAAAGTTTAGAGAAAATGCCTTAAATGAATGCAAATTTTAAAAATTAACATTAAATTGAAGAAGCCCTTGTTTAACTCTAGGCTTTCGTTGGCAATCTGTTGCTTCAAGCCCAGTGAGATAATGCATTATATAGTCTAATTTAAAATGCAAGACCAAACAGATCTAGAAAAGTACAGCTTTATCCTTGCACTTAATTTATACTATAGTGTACTGTAATTAAGCCTGAAATAAAAGCTATATTCTGAGTAAAGACAAAAAGCTCTTGTTAATGGCATTCCATTCCCAATGTAGAATAAAACAAAAGGCTTCTTTATGTGGAGCCAACTGTCATTATACTTTGTAGCTTGTCTGGAGCTATTGGACTAATATTTGTACTGGGATTAGTGTTGGGATAACCAATCAGTTAACTCCTCCATTGCAGTTTTGTTTTATGCTCAAATAAATGGTCAAAAGAAAAGAAAAAAAATTGGCAGGCAGGACGACAACAACTATATTTATGAGATTACACTCTCAAACCCTTCACAGTTTTCTGGGCAACTAATAACCATTTGCCAAGCTGTTCATTTAATAATGAGTCAGTTAAGCCAAAAGCAAATGTTCCTTCAACCAACCAATGCTACTATAGTCATACCTACACAAAGTTCAATTAATTATGTGCTTCATTTCAAATAAGAAACACAAGGTAGCCATGTAAGAGTAAACTTTTGTCATTAGCCAAATGCAGGTTAAACTGCATGTCTTTAAAAATCTAAGTTGTGTATGATTTTGTAATTTACAAAAGTCAAGATGACCAACAAATAGTTTGGAGGAAATTCCTGTTTGTGTCATGTACTCTAGACAAGGGCCAGAATTGAGATATCCAACTCTGAGGTCAGAAATTGCATGACCTCAGGTCATTGTGTGGAATGTGTTCCTTTGATCTATAAAATGGAATGTCAACACTGAAACCACTAGGGCTATGCAGACTGAGTATGTCAAAGCTAAATAATCATAAGGTACAGAATCTAATTACTCAATGGAAGAGGAAGAGGGTAGCTGCTTCCCAAGAAACACAGGTCAACAGGAGATAACACTACTCACCAGCACTAAGCTCTTCTCTTACTCATCTCTGTACACCCAGGACTAGGAAGAGTAAGCATTAGGCGTCCCCTCCCTTATACTCACTAATAGTTCATCCATACTGGTCTGGCATTTTTCCAAGTTGATCCGCTTTATTGCTACACGTTCTTGTCTGGGTTTGCATAGGGCAGCCTGAACCACAGCAGTAGCTCCACTGCCTGAAATGAAATAAAAACAACATCAGCTATCACATGGACACCCTGTCTACTTGCTACTTGTGCCCCTCTTTCATGAATATCTACTTTTTAAGACTTTTATTGAAGGTATTCAAAATGTTACTCTTGACATCTTTAAAGAGCTCCTTAGATCCTAAAATAATTATCTGGAGGAGTAGAACAGAAATTTGGATTTTTTTTCCAGATGCCATATGTCTGAGAACACAGGGGCAAGGAACATAAGCACGACTCCGCATGAAGTGGTTTCTACCCTTGGGCTCTGATTCCATTCAACTGCTCTGTCTCAGGCTCTTCTTCCACTTCTGAGCAATCGAAACCACGCCTGCCCAAGCCACTTCAGGACTTCCACCAGACACTGGCACAACTCCACTGGCCTGAGCATTCTTGGGGCATATTCCTTCAGCACTTGCTCTACAATTAGAAAAACAGAAGTCTGCTCTAGTATTCTCATGTTGAAAGCACAACTTTCAAGGATGCCAAGCAAAATAATGCAAATGTGTAATTACGAAAGCTCTTGGCATTCATAGAAATTCCCTATTTCTAAGGTTTCTTAATCATTAGCTAATGCACTCAAAATGCACAGCTCCTAAAAGGCAGAGCCATGTTGTTAACCATAGTTTGTAAGAACAAAATGTAGAAGAGAATTCCTAATCAGATTTATATCCCATAAGGACAAAAGACTCCCCACACACACATGAAGAAGTCATCTTGATCCTGCAAATAATATCAAAAAAAGTCATTCCAATCACATAAATCTTCCTCAACCCCTAGACATCCAAAAAAAGAAATACAGCCTAAGTTCAGGACTGTACAAAGGGGGACAGATGTGACAATCTCAAAAGCTTTGCTTTAGAGCCGGACATGGTAGTGTATGCCTTTAATCCCGGCACTCATGAGGCAAAGGCAGAGGCAGGAGTATCATGAGATCCAGGTCAGCTGACATAGGGAGTTTCAGGCCAGCTGGGCGACATAATGAGACCCTGTCTCAAAAAGCAAAAAAAAATTAAATCTTTGCTTTAGGTACCCTCTCATCAGCTAGGGTGCTACTGATCTACAGACCTCACAGATCAGCCTAGTTCTCTAAGCCCAGTTCAGGATTCCCACACTTCAGGACTCCCACACCACAGAAGTTCAACCTGTGTTCCCTGTGTAAATCCCATGTTCTAACCACCTACAGAACACACTTTATTCATAAAATTCTCCTTTCAAGCCTATACATTTTTATTATTAGCCTCATTTTATATGTGAGAAAATGGGAACCCAGAAAAGTTGCACACTCTGCCCTTCCTTACTTGTTTTGGCCTTGCCAGGAAAGTATTTCTGCAGTACTAAATGGCTCAACCAGGGAATCAACCTGGAGGGAAAGTGCAAGTAATTCTCCCTCTCTTGAGCATAGGAAGCAGAGTGCTGTTCCTAGAGTGTGTGGAAGAACCTTCCTCTCCCAACCCCAGAGTCACCTATCAGCTGCCACTCAGCCCCACCAGGCTAACCTCACTGCTCCTAGAGTGAGTTGGGTTCAATCCAGAATGTTCCAGATACCAAGCCAAATGCTACAAAAAGCCCTGATGATAGCAGTCCTCAAAACAAGAAGAGACAGACTGTCACTGAAAGGAGCCAAAGAGGAACTGTAAGGAGTTGGTTAGCAGTGGTCCTGGGACCCAGCAGAGAAATCAATATTTTAACCAGCTGCTGACAGGCAGCCATATTCACCCTACTTGCTATAAGTTTCCCCAATCCCATTCCTCCACCCTTAATGCATAGTCCAGAATATCTTCAAATCAAATGAAATGAAGAACAGACAAAAAGAAAGCAAGCTCCCAGAAAGGACTGAACAAGTGTATGTAACACTGGGCTTCTTATCATCATCCTTTATGCCCCTAACTACAAAAACTCCTAACTTCCACTAACACATAAGAGAATGCAGGAACAAATAAGATTTCTCAAAAGCAGGAAATATAGGAGGAGACTCTTATTATGGACTGCTAAAGCTTTACAACTAGAGAATCTTATTTCATTAGTTATAGCTGACCAAAGAACAATGGCTCTCATCTCTAGAAGGCAAATAGCCTGTTGTCACAACATGAATAGATATAATCACCCACTGAACATGTTGGGATCTTCCACTCTGAATTCAGAGATATCCTTTAAATGTAAACAAGATCAAGAACAAAGGTAAAGATGGAGGGCATCCTAAAGACCAAGTCTAACCCTGTACAGTGTGGCAGAGGATAAAGAATTTTTTTTTTCTTGCAATAACTGAAAAACATAGGATGAAGTCTCTGGGATAAGGCATCCTTATTGGTGATTTTGCCAAACTGCCATCTAGGACACAATGGTCATGAATTCAGTGTGTAGGTCGGGTAGAGGTTAGCACCTTCTAAAGGCAAGTGTCAGAATGTAACTTGCCAAGTAAGGCAAGAACTGCTTCATGCAGCTTTGGTTCAGTTACAGTAAAGCTGAGGTAAAATATGTTATACTGTGAGTCATGATCAAAAACTAGAAGCCTGCTATACTAAACTATCATCCCAGGATTAAAGCAAATCCATGCTTCCAAAGCAAAGGAGGAGGGACCTAAGAGCAGTATTCTAAAGACTGTCTTGCTTTAAGGATCTTTACACAATTTGCTGAATAGTTTAAGAGAAAGCTTTAAAATGTAGATTAGAAACCCAGGAAATGAACAAAAGTTGGCAATATGGAGTAAAATGGTAATAATTGAAATGTTAAACAGAGCCTTTCTTAATTTTGAAAAATAACTCCTTAACATTTAGTAGCATATTTCCAATGACTACCCTGCTTTAAACATTTCAGGAATTTCTCAAGTTTTTCCAGACTCCCATTTCAAGTGAATCGAGTCAATCTATAGGCTTATGGTGTATGGGCCTAGACAAAGAGAGTTTTATGTTCCCATCTTTCCAAGCTCTTCATTTTAAGTCATTCTATCTCAGTCCACTTTGGTAATTCCAATTAAAGAATGGCTTCTAAAAAGTTTTGAATAAATGGAAGCCAGAGGCAGAGTTTCCTTGAGTACATTACCAAAGTACAGATTTATCCTTGGGTGGACAATGCTGATTCTAAGTTAAATCACCTGAAAATTGCCCAACTGCATTTTTCACTTTGAGATACCCTAAGAAATATTCATGGATGTGCAATTTTGTATCTTAACTTTGGATTTCACTAAGCCTGTAAGAAACTAGCACAGACAACTTCAGTGCTTTCTTTCGCTTAAAAAAAAAAATGCTATTATTGGGGCTGGAGAAATGGCTCAGCAGTTAAGAGTACTGACTGCTCTTGCGGAGGACCGGAGTTCGATTCCCAGCACCCACGTGGCGGCTACGAACCGTCCTTAACTCCAGTTCCAGGGGAACCCAAAGCCCTCTTCTGACTTCCGCAGCATTGCACAACATGGGTGCACTCATATACATGCAGGCAATACAATCATACACATAAAATAAAAATAATAAATAAAATATTCTTTAAAATTGCTATTACCAGAGATGATCTAAACAGTGTGTTCAAAGTTCTTAGTTCTATGAGCCACACAATCCCTCCCTTGTATATAGTGCTAGGTGTAAGAGTGCCACCTTCTTAAATAACCTAAAGGATAATGAAAAATTTATGGCATCAAACTTTCCTTTTCTATCCTGAAATTTAAAACTCAGATGTAAATTACATGTTTAATACTAACAACTATTTTAGCCCAGATTTCCTGGTGTTTTCTTGCCCTCATTATCCGGCTCACAGGGCCTTAATTGAAAGGTATTTCCATTACAGAAATCAGGGTTCCCAGAACCTGACAAAGTAATACCACCTTAAAACACCAGTCCCTAAGCACCCAATGTGGAGAAAACAGGCTTAATAGCCACAAGAAAACTTCAGGCACACAAAGGCAACAAAAGATGTTTGGTTATATTATTTCATCCACAAACAGTAATTAAACCCCTACCATGTGGCAGGTAGTTCACTAGATGATAAAAGTCCAAAGGTGACTTCTCCTGTTACAAGTGGAATAACTCCTCTGTCAAATCATTTCCTATTCATAAGTGAGAACAGGATTAGATTGCTTCTGTGGCCTGAAAGTCTGCTACAGACTAAATACATATAGTAAAAGTCCCAACCCACAATGAATTTAGAGAAAGGGCCTTAGTACAGGTAAGGAAATTAAAGGTTCATCAGGGTGGATGATTAGTATCTTTATGAGAAATGTCAACAAAGAACAAATGTACCTTTCCTCTCTCCCCACCATGTGAGTACCCAGAGAAAAGGTTCTAGCCTGCAAACTATAAAAACAGACCAGAAAAAAGTTGACCAGCACCTTAAGCTGCACTGCCAGCCTCCAGAACTTGTGGACATAAATGTCTGTGATTCACACCACCCAGTCTGTGATATTTTGTTACCGCGGCCACAGAAGATTAATACAAAAGCCTTCAATGTCTGTTCTAAGTCAGTCTTCCACTGGCACCCACAGTAAATAATGCCACACTAATTGCAAGCTTTCAGAAATTTCCAAATAAGGTCCATAACCAGAGGCAAGAGTCATATGAAAGGCCTCTGGTAGGTCACTGTAGTTTGCACACCTTACCTCTGAAAACAAGGTAAGATGAGGCTTCTATTCAGCTGTGATGGTTTGAATAAAAATGTCTCCCACAGGCTCCAAGTTTTTGAGCATTTTTGTCCCCAGTTGATGCTGCTGGTTTGGGAGGTCTTAGAAGATGTGACCACAATGGAGGAAGCATGTCACTGGGGGCAGGTTTAGAGAGTTCTTAAGCCTTGCCAGCTCTCCAGTCACTCTTGGCTTCCTGTGTGTGCTTGAAGATATGAGACCTTAATTTCTGCTCCTTCTCCAGCCACCTCGCCCACCATGCCTCCCTGCTATGATGGATTCTTGCCCCTTTGGAAATGTAAGCTAAATAAATTCTTCCTTTTATAAGTTCCCTTGGTTGTGGTGTTTCTATCACAGCAACACAAAAGTGACTAATACACCA